AGTGTGTGTGTGTGTGTGTGTGGCAAGGCTCTGGCTGATCAAACCAAAAAAAAACAAACAAACGTAACGAGCACAAAATAAATAAAAACAAAAGCAAAGATACTGATTGACACATCTTCTTTCCGATTCTTCGTCAAATCAAATGCACACCGATTGGAGGATGCGTTGGTAGGGATGCATCGGGAACCATAAAAAAAAAACAACACCCACTGCACTTCTCCACAAATTGTCTACTGATGAGGAACATAAGAAAAATTTAAAAAGAAAAAAAAGCGTCAAAGCTCACGCAAAGCAGAGACATTTACAAAAAAGTACTACAACTTTTTTTCCCCCTTCCCCCTTTCCCCTGTCCCCCCCCCCAATTGTTTATTTATTTGTTTTGATTGCCTGAATACGATGATGATCTTATGCACCGTATCTTTTTTTTATCCTTGTGAATTGGGGAGATGCGCGTTCACTCGATTTTTTTCCCCTTCTTTAAGTATTTGGCTTCTGTAGCACTCAGTTTCACCTTTCCACTGGTGGCTGGGGCCCGGCACCGCCTCTCGCCTCGCCGCCACATCCATGCCAAAGGGGGATGCAGCAGAACTACACACACGCACACGCACACATATATATATATATATATATGCTGACCTTGTGTAAAGGTCCGAAAACAAAAGCAAACAAAGAAAAACAAACCTAAAAAAAAGGGCCTCTAATGCGGCAATCCCTCCTCTTCCAAGTGCCTCGCTATGATCTCCTGCTCTTCCTCCTTTGTCACTCCAATGCTAGAAAGTGATGCGCACTCCAACCGAACGGCCTCACCATATAGGACACGGCGACATGAAATCAGCTCGTTCCCAACCTCCGACTTAAGCCACCCAATGATGAAGGTGGGTGTCCAGCCGCGTGGGTTCATGCAGCTCACATACGTGGCCATTGTATTGTTACCAATAGGAGTTAACTCCCATGCCCACAGACACGACGCACGCACGCGGTTACCGGGTATCTTTTCACGTGCTGCGTAGTCAATGCTACAGCCATATACATAGTACACGTCGTCTTCTTCAACATATTTTTTTTCAGCAAAAAAGATAAACTCGCGACCTGAAACCGGTGGTGGTGCCCAATATTCCTGATACTGCACGTTGGACGTGGGGGTCGGCCTTGCGAGAATCTCAAACCGGACCATATTTGCAGAATATTTTTTGCGGTCTGCCTCATCATCACTGTGCACGGTGTCAAGCACTCGCTGCGGCGTCACACCCATAAAAGAGAGAGTGGCCTTGACGAAGTTAAAAGGACCAATGTGGGGACGGGTAAAGAGGTGCAAGTCACCGTTCTTGTCAGGGTCTTGGTAGTCAACAAGGCGCCACTGATGTTCCGCATCGTTTTCAAGGAGGTCTTTGGCGGAGGCAAAAATGTTGTCAAGGAGTTCCTGCGCTCTGAAAAGGTCATCAGGATCTTCCATGCGTTGCAGCGGCAAAGCGCACGGATACGGTGGCTGCTCTGTGCCGGCGGCGAGGCCTGTCTTGGCAGCGGTTCGGTAAGCCGCCTTCCCAACTTTAGAAACAACGTTCCACATACGGTGCTTAGTGCGTACCTCGCGTTGACGTTACTCAGGTCTACATGTATACACAGACATATATATATATATATATATATTACGCGTGAAGAAGAGAAATCAGCCAGAACCGTCCAGCAACAGCAAAATTAAAAAAATGCAGAAGACGAATTTGCATAGATGAGAAGACCAGAGGGAGGTGATCCACCACATCACTCTCCCTTTTTTACACACACACACACACACGGGAAACAGTAAAGGGATAAACGAAACAACAACAACAACAACAACCAAGAAAGGCCAATCCCATTACGTGTGTGTCTGAGGATACAAACTTATTTTGTTCATTCCTTACTTTACGAAGGAAACCAAACTACGGCGGTGTTGAAGTCCCGAGTGGCTACGGTAGCTCAATACCACATGCAAGCCGTAGCACGTGTCGCAAGGACCGCATCCACCGTCCCATCAAATCGCCCACCATCTCATTACGCAAAACAACAGCAATAATTTTGCGACGAAATTCTTCAACTGCGTCGTTGTTCACGCGGTCCACATACACACCGCCTTTTCCGGAGCCGTTACCACCTTGGCTCTGGATGCGCTCAAGACGGTAATTGTACCGCCGAAAGTCAAGGTAGGAGAGAAAGAGACCATTCGCCGGCACCATTGGCACGCCGCAGCGTACAGCCTTGTTTAACAGATGCTCGCGCAAATACTCTGGTGGCAAACCAGTGGCACAGATGGAAACAACGCCCCCTATCATCTTTCTAATTTGGTTAAGCATAAAGCTCTGTCCATGCAGCTCAATTCGCACCACCTCAAGACCACCCGGGGCACCGCTTTCCGTCCCTTCGCAGGAGGAGCCACCATACACACGCAGCATATGCTCTCGCATCTGTTCTCGCATCTTCTCAACACCAGCCTCATCCTTCTCTCCCTGCGTTGCGAGCTCTTCGCCGTCCGGGGAGTAGCATCGTGACGGTGTCCACTGCTGTAACGCCGATGCCACAGCAGCATCCGTGGGCTGAATAATAAAGGGATCCCCCACCGTCACAGACGTGATGTAGCGCATAGATGCAGGGTCACTTGCTCGCCCCCCAGGCGTAAAGTTATGGTATGAGTATGTTCCCTCGTAAAGGCGGAAAATACTTCGAGCGTGTTCTAGCCGCTCGTGTGAGAGGCGATATTGCGACACGTGTCGCATGCCGTCCTCAGGGATGGTGTGAAACACCAGCAACTTCTCAAAAAGGCCGTCGTGAAATTTTTGCACGGTGTCATTGCCGTTATCACCAGTCACGAATTGCTGCTGATCTCGCTTCTCCACCTCATCCTCACCCTCTTCCCCTTCACTCATTCCACCTGCACCCTTCGTGCTCGCCACAGCACGGTTGCCCCCAGCCAAATCCTCCTCTCCCCCCTTTTTTCCTTCCACCTCGCGCGGGCGCTTTGATCCCAGCGAAGCGCATGTCGGTGTTTCTCCTCCTGCGGCTCTCGGGCGCGCAGAAGACACGCCAGGTAAGCCCACCTCCTCCAGTGTAGGCCGTGACGGGGCAAACGCGGCCGGGAAGTACTCGCGGCTGTATTCCCCGGGGCTCATAAGGGCAAAGGTCGGCAAGTAGTACTCATAGGTACGTGCTCCGCACAGCATGTAGGCATTGAAGCTACGCGTCACCGGAACAATTTCATACACCACAATGTCGGGTGGAAGAACGGTCATTAAAAGACGTCTTGCCTCTTGCGTATCGTACTCCGTGGTGGAGCCCTTCGCGTACGGAAGCATGACGTTGAGTGAAATCACATTACGCAGCGCATGTACCCCCTTGTCCGTGCGGCTCGCACGGTCCCAGTTAAGCTTCTGTTGCACCTTTTCCTGCTCGTAGTTCTCCTGCGAAATCATGTTTGTGCGGTACAGTGCCCGCAGCAGCTCCTCCTCAACGGTGGGATAGTCCGGCAGATGGTTCCATTGTAGGCCGCAGTAGCGCTCACCCACGTACCCAAATATAATGGCGACCTTGCGCTTTGGTTGCTTGCGGGCCTGCTCGTCCGCGGTCGTGGTCACCGTTTCCGCCTCCCCTTTGCTCACGCCGTTATTATTTACAACGGCGGCATCTGCCACTCTCACGATGGCTGTGGTGGAGATGGAGGGGGGGGAACCACCTCCACTCACATCACTACTTGTGGCTGCAGCGTTCGTCTGACAAGGCATGTCGCTGCAGGTGGGGGACAAAGCAAGAACGAAAGGAGAAAAAAAAAAAACAAAAAACGTAAATGCACCAGAAAAATAAAAACAACAAAATCAAACGAAAAACGGTGGCGCCTCGCCACAAGAAAGGCTGAGTTCACTTTGCCCACCACCTGCAGGTTTCCCTCAGCAGTGGCAGGCAGACTCCCTGCGGCTCTTACTCAGTTACGTGCTCCAGTTTTAAGCGTGTTGTGCGTGTCTGTCTCTGGTTTCACTTCATTTGTTTGGTTGGCTGGTGGGAGGAGGCTGCCTTAATTATGCCTTGTAGTCTTTGTTATTTCTTTTTCCCCTTTGTTTTTTCCTTTCTTTTTTCTTTTTTTTTTTCCTTTGTTTTTTTCTTCATTTTAAAGAAGGAAACCTGATCTCATGTGGGGTGCAGAAGGAGACAATGAATATGTCGCGGGGGACATACAACACGCGCAGTGCCTCATTCCACTCCCCGTTACTTCTTCACCACCTTGAAGTTTGCCCCCTTCTTCTTCTTCAGTTTCTTCGGTGGCTCGCCTGCGGGCTGCTGCTGCTGCTGCTGCTCCGTTGCCCTCGTCAGCTTTGTGACCCTCGCTGGACGCCCCTTTTTATCGTTGCCGTCACCCGCACCATGTGTCGAGGCCTTTGACTCCCTCTTGGCTTCGATTTTCTTCTTCTTTTTACGCAGTGCCATCTTCTTCCCTGCGACATCCGCCTCCGCCGGCGCACTAAACTGCATCTGGCCGTCCTCGCCAAGCGTAAACAGACCGTTTTCGCCATTGCTGCCATCATCGCTGCCGTCGTTGGCCTGAGGGGCACTCTCGCCGTCCATCGGGTCCTCGCTCCCCGCGACATCGTTTTCCCCCTCCTTGTCACTCCCCGCTTCCTCGTCGTCAAAGCCGTACAACAACGCAGGGATGTGCTCCACTGCCGCACATGACGCAGACGCACGCAGCCTGGCATCGTCAAGGGGTATCACATATGCGGCGTTGAGAGCACTTCGCTGCACAACCCAGCGACCAAGTCGCGGCTCTTTACTGCAACCAACAAGAAGAGCATCACCACTAGGAGTAAAGAACAAAGACGTCACAATGGCGCCCACAGGGATCGATGCCAGACACTCAAACGTTGTTGCGGTCGCCGCCACGCACTCGGTATGATCCGCCGTTGCCGCTGACTTTCTCCCGACCTCTGGAGTGACGATGCGCCAAAGCCGCACATTGCCATCGTAGCTTGCGCTGGCGGCCACGTCCGCGTGCGGTATTGACGCCACCGATGTGATGGGGTTTGCGTTCTGCCGACGTACCTCCCGCGCTTGTTCACTCGCATCGCTAGCCTGCTCCTGTTGGGCTGCCACTACCGCCTTTTCCAGACCCGTGCCATCGCCCACGAATCCGTATCCGTGTGCCGCCTCCTGCACGGCAAGCGGCTTCCGCCTGTTGACATCAAATAACAGAAGTGCACCGTTGGCAGCACCGCACAACACGACATTGTCGTTGACCATTGTCACACACTCGAGCACAACCTTTACACCAAAGTGGGAGCTTGTGGCAAATTCTTGTTGCGTCGCCGCGTCAACCTTCCAAAAGCGCATTGTGCCATCCTCCCCAACAGTGGCGCAGCGTTCACGCTTGAGACAGTGTATGCCGAGAACTCGTCCTTGATGACCAAAGAGTTTGTCTTGACAAATCATCTGCGGCACGGACCACACCCGCAATGTCTCGTCGTTGCTGCAACTATACAGTGTATCGTGACGAAATGCCAACCCTGTCACCGCAGAACGATGCATGGATAAAAACCCCATATGCTTTCGCGTGCTCGTTACCCATACACTTATTGTACCATCTGCGGCACCAGCCGCAATGTACGACGTGACGCTGGTATCCACGGTACTACGCTCAAACAGGGCACGCTGTGAGGGACGCACATCACGTGTGTCAGATACGGCAATGGAAAGCACCGCCGCCGGCAAAAATGGACTGAGAAGCATCTTCTGTGAGGAATTCGGGGACAGTGGCGGGGAAGGACCACCGTTCAGCTCCGCCATGTATATGGCACCTGACTTATCCCCAAGCACCACCAAATCCGCTCCAAGGCCACACACCGCCGTCACCGCATTACTGTTGTGTCTAATGCGCACCATCTTGGCACTTGCCGTCACGGCACTACCGGCATCATCTGCAACAGTCTCCTCTTGCCGTCGAAGAAATTTTGCTATTGAAGTGGAAAGCACACGTGACTTGGTGCCCGCCGCAATCGCCGCCTCCTCCCGCAACTGGCGCTGCTGCTCGTCAAACAAATCCGCGTCAAGATCGTCGTCAAACTCAAGCTCCTGCAGCCGGGTGTTGACGTGGTCTCCAATGGCCCGCAGCATATCCGCCGGGTTCTCCACCAAAGCCACCGCTGCATCCACTGCGTGATCCTCCGCTTCGTTACTAGTGCGCTGGCGCTTCCCAACTCTTCCCGGTCTCTCCGTTCCATCCGCCTTCGCACCCGCCGCCTTCCCGCGCAACTGCTTCAGCTCCCTCTTTCGCTGCGCCGAAGCCGTCGCGGCAATGGCGTTCCGCCTCTCCGCCCTCTTTTTGGCCAGCATTAAGGAAACAAGGCACCAAAAAATTCCTGCGACGGAGTCGTGGTCGTTGAACCTGACATAAAGTGGAAGATAAAAAGATATATATATATATATATATATATAATCAACAAATGAAAAAAAAAAGAAAATGTTGGCTTGTGCGTGCTGCTGGGGAGACATAACAGCAGCCAGGCATCGGAGAACAACGAACAAGCAGGAAAGCAAAACAGAAATAAAATCAAAAACGCCAAGGCATTCACCACGGATTGAGCTCCACAGATCAGGATTGTTGGTGCGGCACTTCGCACGGTAAAGAGATGCCGTCACCGTCGTCCACCACGTACCTGCTGAAAAGACAGCTCAGCTTCCCGAGCGACCACCCGCACAAGCACCTGCAATGCACATCGCAGCATCTGTGGGTTTGACACCTCCGGGGAGAATAAAAGCAACAGCTCCCTCATACGACTCGATGCAAACATAGCGCCTTCTACTGATATAAAATCGGCACCGCTGCCGCCTGACTCTGCAGAGGGTGACAACACATTTCTAGCTCCTGTTGTGTAGAATTGCTCCATGAGCGATGCAACAAGAGTGGCAGTTGTTCGCATGACAAGAAGGTTCACATCATCCATGCGTAACAACATGAGTGGCTCAGCGGAGCGCGAACACTGTGCGAGTCTATCCCGCTGCTCCACCACAAGCCGCAGCAGTCGTTTTCGTTCGCGTGAGCTCAATCGCATCGCCGCTGACGGCTCACTGTAGACAAGCGTCGCGGTTCCCCCTCTACGTGGGTTACCCCTTAGCACCGCAGCGAACCACTGAAGCCCATCTGGATGAATCGATACAGAAGGTAAAATGTTCCTGTCAACATTCAAAAAGTCGGAAGAGGCCACCAGGGCGGGCGCGGTATCGCAGCTGAGAAGCAGCAGCTGCCGCTTCTGTTCCTCTACACTCTCCGCTGACATGACAAGAGACAACGGAAGGTGCTCAAGTCGAGAAAGCTCCTCCTCCAACTGGGCAATTTCGGACATTAGGTGACGCGCCACTTGACAGGTCTGCTCCGCAAGAGCCACAAAAGCCTCTTGACTGGCGGCAATGTGCACCATCAAAATCCCCTCAGACTTTGCGAACCTCGCCGGTGTTTCGTAGACGAGAGCGTCCAATGCGGCGACATTTTTCCTGGCACCGCCTCCCACAGCTGTTGAATCCCGTGCCCCGCCTTCTCCGTGGTGCTCACAACCAGTGAGTCGCTGTGATAGTTGCTGCTGCTGCTGTCCCCGCGCCATGACACTCATGTTAGCGCAGTAGCACCACAGATATCCGGTGTTGTTGTACATGGGCAAACAAAGCGGTGCCCAGATCTCCCCCACCTGTGAATCGGCAAGGCACCGCGTAAAGTTCAGTAGAACAAGCACATCTTCAACGTGGAGTGGCGCGTCTGAGTCCGCCGGCCCCACCGCACACACCACGCGCCCCCGAAAAAACACAAAACTGTAAAGATGATTTTTTGCCGTCGCGCTGTGACTCGCATCTGCAGCGGGGTTCTCGTCGCTGCCGTCGGTTGAATTGGGTGTTGGGAAGCCAGTGCCATGGTGCTGGGCGAGGAGAGACTCCATTAACCGCCGCCACTTCACGGACAACGGCGCTGCGGCGAGGCAGCGAAACAAATAACACTCCTCTCGGCTGTAGCGCCTGATGAGTTGCCGCAGCACACCGGATTCGGTGGATGAAATAAGCCGCCGAAGGTCATAGGAGGGGCAGCGGGAGAGAATACTGCTCACATTGGGCACAAGGCCAAGCAGCTGCAGATGAATCTGCCGCAACTGGCTCATGCAGCTACGCATGGACTCACCGGTGCGGGTCACGAGTACGTAAATAAGCTCCTCTGCCACGTAAAAGTACAGGCTCAGATCCCCCGCCTTGATGCGACGAAGACTTTCATGCTGCCGTTGCTGCTGCATCGCTGCGGCATCGCCGTGTCTCTGTCGAGCCATGGCCATGATCACCTGAAAAACACCAAAAACTTCACTGAACTCCCTCTCATCTCCATGACGTGTAAAGACAGGCTTGCCGGCGCTTGTGAGAATAAAAACATGCTTGTCGTGTCTACGCAAAATATCATCTGTCGCCACACACTTAGACGCTGTGAACAGAGGCGAGGGCCCATGCGCCTGCGACGCCACTGCCGCCTGCAGTGGTGCCTGAACCTCGTCCATGTGCTCCACGTCGATGGTTGCACCCGTCAAGACTGCTTCCTGCACCGCAGAGGGCCTCAGCTCCATGCTCCTTGCAGCAGCGCATGCCTCTTCCTCATCCTCGTCCCTCGCGTCAGAGCTCAACTCTTCTAGGCGAGCTGACTGCTCCAAAGCCGCGTGCGCGGAGGCGCAGGCAATGGTTTCAGCATCATCTTCGCCGCTGCCACCGCCGCCGCCCAGACGCTCTTCCGCAGCAAACTCCATCGCTCCCCGCCACGCGCCTGTTAGCCACTCTGCAGCAACACCTCCAATGCCCCCCACCACCCCACCCCACACAGTGCGAGTGTACGAAGGAGGGCGTTAAAAGAGAACATCATGAAAGAAGCCAATAACAATTCCCGGCCCGTGGATATGCAGGAGGAACCCCACCCCACACCATTGCAGGCGGTCAACGGGAACGCAGCACAACCACAAACGACTCCCTTGCGACATACAAATAAAGAACACCGGCAACAAAAAATAAAATACGAAAAATAATAAAAACGTCTACGCAAACGCTCATCTTCACATCAGACCCCCGGGAAGCCGTTCACCGTTTTTTTACGCTAAACGTGGGCACAGAGAACCAGCTCGGTGGATACCACGCGGCCCGGGTAAAAAAAAAGGTAAAACATCACCTCGTAAAGGAAAAACTGGTGGTACGCCGCGTTCAAAAATCCCCGCACATCGATCAACGCCAGGTTGTCCCATAGGTGATGGCTTGTCATTACAAATGGGGCACTCTCCAGCGTGTGGTAGCCGCCTTCCCCGCCCGCATGCAGAGACCTGCCGTACTTCAACTCCGGCCACATGGCACGCCACGTCGTCATGACTACGTGGAACGAAGAATATCCGTCGTAGCGTGCAAATACCACATGCGCATCCGCAGCACCCGTCTTTCCCTCCTTAGTCTCATCGACGTGGTGCAGCAGCTGCCCAACATTGTGACTGACAACGGGCACCTGTGCAAAAGCCGCACCATAACTCTTCACCGTTGGAAGGGCTGCGCAGTCACCAAGGGTGAATACGTTTGCATGGACACAGTGCTGCAGCGTGTCTGGGTGCACATCCACAAACCCCGCCGTCGCCGCCTCGTCGCCCAGTCCACTACTTCGAATAAAGTCAGATGCAGCAAGAGGAAGATCAAGCAGAAGCAGCTTGTATGGCACCACCTTTTTTTCCTTCGTGACACAGTTGTAGAGCGTTGCCTCACTCCGCACCAGGTCTATATGTGAAGGATACAAGCATGTAATTAATTCCACACCACGACTGCGCCAGAAGGACAATATGCGATCATTGAGAGGTGAAGGAAAGGCATCGCTTGGCTGCCGATCCGATGTTACTGCAATGTACGGGCAAAGCGAGAGCTTATTAAAATAATACATGCAACACCAAATGGTGTTTACAGTACTAATAAATGTACTGTCGTGCTGGCGAGACAAGTAACGCCTCGTGCCATCCCCTGCAAAAGAAGCTGGAGGCACCTTCACGTGTAGTACAGTCCCTTGAAACAAATGTACAAGACAGTCGCGTGTGATCCCGGGATTCACTGCGATGCGGTACCGATCCACCTGAGAAGTTGAAATAAAACGTTGTAGCGGCCCAAGTGTTCTTTCCGCGCCACACGCAATAACAAGCGCGTCGTACGGGTAGCGACGATGCAGCAGCGACGCTGCAACGCTAACGCTACCGCCTCGTGATCACCAACTCTTCAGCGGTTTCACGCAGCGCGATAACAGCGACACGGAGTGAGATGCAGGGGATGACTTTAATGGTGCTGGTGGCGATGAGGATGCGGTTGCAGAAGGAGAGTGAGGGGTTTCCACCACAACTGCCTCGTTGCGTGCGGTGTTGACATGCACAACTTCACCCTGAACCAGCGATGCATCCCGTGTGACGTTCCACGTCGCAGGCGACCGCAGGAAATCGACTCCCCCGGTCGTGTTAAGGTCGTAACTACGGTGCCCCACGTGGGCAAGGGGAACCATGGCCTGGAAGACATGTTTCCTTTCCCGCTCAATCAGTCACGTGCAGGTCCGGTGAGGCGCTCGCCAGGCTTGCGGCAAGCGCTGACCCAGCTGCGCCAGCGCCTATGATGACAACACGCCTGCCGCTGCGTTGCTGACGTAAGGCACCTTCGGGACGCCGTTGCCGCTTTCATGTCTTTTCCAGTGCAAAGTACAACACCATCCCTGTTGCAAGGAGCGCAATGCCACAATATGCAACAATAAATCGCAGTGACTTTTGCACCGCAAAATGATTTTCTTTCCGTTTCTTTGGATTCTTGGGAAATTACATCTGCAACTACCACCATACGCTACAAACAAGTAGACAAGAAGAAACCAACGCCACTGGTGAGCGCCGGGATTCAAAGATCACACCTCAACTCTTCACAAGAAGCTCGCGCCCGTTGTGTTGCATTAAATCCTTTAGTTTTCCACTTTTGTACTTCCTTTTTTTTTTTTTGTTTCTTCTTCGAGTTTGTCGGCACTCTTCAGATGCGTTACCGTCCACCTCACTCCATCATACATAACTCGTGGTTGTGTGTCACCTAGCAACTCTCTTCAAGGAGGCCATACACGCAACATACCCCGCTCCTGCTGCAGCTTAGAGAGCCGTAGTACGCCCTCCTCCTTCTCATCTTGGCATTCCAGCTCCTTGTTAAGGTTACCATGGGCGAAAAAACTCTAAAAGCACTCCAACCGGTTCCTCAGGTCGCTGCATGAGCAGTTTTCTCATGACACACCGCATGATGGCGTCAATCTCTGGGTGTTCCCGCAGGTACTTGGCATGGGCAATCTTTTCCTCTGTGAGGTTGCGGCGCAGGTTCTGCAGCTCCTCTGGTGTCATGATCGCAGTGGCTGCCTCCGTGAGAGTCGGAAAGTCCCCGGAGGTGGGGTCGCAGCAGCTGCTCGGCATGGCAGCCCTCACGTCCTCCATGGATCTCTTTTTCTTCCCCCATTGAGAGGGCAGAGCAGCCACACACACACACACAACAGCGACAGACAAAAGTGAAGGAGGCAAAAGAAGAAGGGGGTCAACGTCGCAGCAAAGACTCACGGAACGCAGCCCCCGCCGCCGACAGCATAAGATGGTCGGGGGAACAAACAAATGGAAAGAAGGACGCAAGCCCCAAAACACACTCTACAGCGACAATTAAAACCGCTACGACGCGAAACAGGCGCCAAACACAAGGAAGAAAAAAAAACAGCCACGATGCCTTAATCATATAAAAAGGCATAAATATTTTTTCTTGTTGCTGTCGTTCCTTGGAGTGGAGTGGGGCGAGTGGGGACATATACGACGGGGGTATCACACAGACGCCAATCACGCCGTTGCGGAGTTTTCACCGTCCTTAAAGGGCCCCACCCAGCGTCACAGAGAGCAGCACGGGAACAAAGAAAGAAAGAGAGAAATAAAAAGTAAAAAAAAAAAAACGCCACGTACGGACTGTAACAGCGGCAGCCATCCCCTTCACATACACACACCGGCAGTAAGGCGCGATACAAGGTGTGAGAGAAAAAGAGAAAAACGAGTGAAGCACTGTCCCCGCCATACACACACATGCAAAATAATAAAAAAAAAAGGGCAAATCACCACAAGGATGTTACTTTATGGCTTTGGTGCGTCATCGCCCGCCCGGTGCGCCGTTCTGCAGCGCGGGTTTCCTCTTTCTTCCAGCGTTCTTCAGTAATGCTACGAAGTGTCTTGTGTGGTGTCTCGGGGGGCGGCGGACGACCAAAAATAAAGTCTGGCATTCGCTGATTTGCACTATAGTGGCAGCGGGCCTTTGATCGGGAAAGCATTTCCTCATCAATACACGCCGTTGATCGTTGCTGTGAAGAGCCTGGCCGTATTGATATACGCGGCACCACACGAACGCCAACGGCCGGGGGATCAGGGTACTCATTCTGTGAGAGCAGCACGTTGTCCCGCAGTCCCCGGTGTTTGTCTGCGCCACCGCAGCGTCCTGCAGGTTTTCCCGGCAGCGGGTTAGACTCAGCGTTACGATAATGCACGCCGCGATGCTCAGGGATATTATCAGGACGCGGTGTAGATTCATCAAACGCAAAAGGCACCTGCATCTGAATCGTCTCGCCTGGTGTTCCCAAATCCATTGCCTTGTAGTGCTCCTGCAGCGCGGCACACCGCGCCTGGCTTCCCTTCGCGTACTCTACTGCCGCAATACGCCGCGAGAGGCGCTCCTCCTCCCGCGCAATTGACGGATTTCCGGCGTGGCGCAGAACCTCACGTGCCGCCTCCGAATAGGACGGGTTTTTGGCGATTTCCAAGAGACGCGCCTCTGCCACTTGCATGGAAGTGCTTGTGTGCACGTTCAGTGGTCGCACACGGTTCGGCTCCGGGGGTGTATGGTTGCCACCCCCACCCAGGAGACTGAAAACGGTGTCCTTGCAGCCCCCCGAATAGCCTTGAACCCGCCTTTTCCCGTAACGACCCTCCTCCCGCTTGGTTTCGTCTGAAACTTGTACGTGATGCGGGTCAATATGTTTTTTGCCGCGGTACTCCTCCTCCCTCCCGCGCATAAAACGCTGCGGATGAACATGAGGCCTGGCCTCGCGCCCACCCTCCCCCGCCACCGGCGTAATGCCAAACTCCGATTGCACCAACCTGTCTTTATGCCATGTATGCGGAGCAGACTGGCTACCGGTACAACCGGTGCCGTTGGTGTTCGCGTCTTTGCCGCCACCCATGTTTGTTTCTTTGCCACCATGCATTTCTATGGTGAACGCCGCCGCTGCCGCCATTCAGATCACGCACCTTCGCCTTTACAATGAGGCGGCCCAATAGTTATGTTTGCCTTGCACCTTCTCTGCAGCTCATGTACGCATCAAAAATAAAATAAAATAAATAAAAAACAACATAAACGATAAATGACGATGAAGTGAAAGCCCAACCGGAGAAGTGAAGAGAGAGGAAATTAAACGACAACCAACACACATCCTTCACGTCTCAATCTATTCTCTCTTTCTTTCTTTCTTGTTGATCTCGCCTCTACTGGTACTCGTAAAAAACTACAAGGTTAGCACAGCACGAATGCACCCCCTCTCTATTCCTCGCCTGATCTACTTCACACTCAAGTTCCGCAGGAGGGGGCCTGCGGAAGATGTCATGCTGCACTGGAAACCAAATGCAAATACGGGAGAGCACACACACAAACACATACTCACTCGGCTCAATGCGGCTCAAGGAAGAGAAGGCTCTGGAGCTGCTGTCGCAAAGGCTCTCTTTCGCTTTCCACCTCTGCAAGCCGCTCTTCCAGGACGCGATTCACCTTCTGCAGCGCCTCACATTCTTGCGTCATCGCGTCAACTGCCGCCTGCTGAAGCCACAGTGCCTCCTGCAGCTCCGACACACGTTGCTCGAGCTCCACAATTTTCAGGTGCTGTGCTGCCAGATGGTTGCTGAGGTCCTTCGAGTGACCCTCAGCAGCCTCGCTACGGAGCTTTTCCGTCTGCAACAAACGCTGCACGAATTGGTGGGCGGCGTGTGTTTCACTAAGCTCCTGCTTCAGCTTCTCAACGTCTCGTTCCGACTGCGTCGCCCTCGACATATCAGCGTTCTGCCTTTGCTGCAGCGCCTGCTTGGACGCTGCTAGTTGTTCACTGATATCGCGCAGCTTTTGCCTCGCCTTCTCCTCTGCGGTGCGTACCGTCTGTAACTCCCGCTCAAGATGATACATCTCCTTCTGCATCTCATCCCTTGCATTATCCGCGTCACGGCGAATTCGTTTTTCTTCGTCACGCGCAGCAATTAATTGTGTCCGCACGCTCTGCAGCTCCACCCGCAACTCGTCTGCCTTTCGCAGAAGCTGCTGCTGACGTTCCTCCTCACCTTGCCGCCGTGCAGCGTGTTCTAGCTGAAGTTTACCAACTGTTTCACGCCATTGACCTCGTTCCGTTTCAAATTCACGCTTCTTGGCGGCAAGTTGCTCTTCAAGGTGCTCCACACGCGTACAAACCTCATCGTACCGCGACTTGACCTCTCCTAACTCCGCGTGTGACCCTTCAGAAGAATGCCGCGCCGCAGCAGCCTTTAACGGCGTTGCCGGCAGCTGCATTGGCGGAAATTGCCCTCGTTCAGCCACACCACCAGAGCCGCGACGCACGCGCTCCTCACCGCTCGTGTTTGGATAGTGACTGGCCCTCTGAGAAGCCTCCTCCCCGTCACGCGGATAGCCGCTTGTGAGCCGATACGCGCGCCTAAACACCCCTGCACATGCATCAACATAGGCATCCACAATCCTTCCGGCCACAACACTCCACATGGCCCCGGCACCTGTGTCCTCGTGTACATGTGCTGCTGCTGCTTCCATCGAATTATTATCCTGAGCGTTATTCAAGTTGCCACTATTGCTCTCCGTGACGCCGCCATCGGTGGCCACCAGTTGCGTCTTAGGTGTGGTATTGAAATCCGTAGTAGCTGTCGTGGGAGAAGAACTAAGGCATATATGTTGTAGGTGCTCGAAAGACTCCCAATAATCGGCGTGGGGCCGCAGAAACACTTGTTCGATTGACAATGTAAGATCGCTAAGGAACTTGTGGAGTCCGCTGGAGAAGGCTGCGGCGATCTCATGAAGCTGCCGGACACCTGGTGTGGAGGGCGGACTCAAATCATCTTCCAACGCCGATGTCGGTGGTGAGAGGCTTCGACCGCCACTCGCTTCCATGTGTAGTTGTGGTTGTTGAAGCGGAGGCAGAGGTGTCAAAGCTGTCAGTGGAGAGGAACCAATGGATTGCAAAATACTTGACGATGGGGGTTGAATCGCCAACAAATACGTGAGGCGTCGCCACCTCCACTTCCTCACGCTGCGAGCCAAGCCTTGGCGCGTAGTCGGACTGTGGCTCGTCAAGCATGGCAAGAAGACGCGTGACCGCCTTCGTCTGGACAACCTGCAGCAGCGAAGCAACTCCTGCAAATTGCTGGGCAGGGCTTGGCGGCAGCTGACGCAGACAATCCCGCACACGTGTCTGCTGTTCATCAAACTTCCCACGCAACTCTTCCATCTGCATTTGGGCCGCATTCAGTGAACTAACAAGTACATGCACCTGTTCACGCTCTTGCATCAACTCCGTCTCAATCTCCTCATAGCGGTCAACAGAAACCGTGCCCTCTGCCAACCCTTTTGCCTTCTGTGTGAAACGGTGAATGGTGTCTTGCATCTTCGCCGCCTCAATCCCGGCATCGCACAACTGACGATTCAGCGCCGCTATGGCCACATCCTTCACCTCCAGCTCCTCCCTAAGTCCAGCGTTCTCCGCGGTGAGGCGCGCACTCTTCTCTTCGGTGCTGCGCTGCAGTGTCTCCAGTTCGCGCTTGATCTCCACCAGCTCCGCCTCATGATGCCTACGTAAAATTGTCATGGCCTGCTCATTCTCTGCCGTCATACTCCCCAACTGGGTGCAGGCTTTAAGCAACTCGCTCTTCAGTGTACGCTCCACAGCGCTGAGGCGCTCCTTTTCAAGCTGCAGCTCCTCTATCCGCTGAAGCGCGGCCGACTCCTCTTCATGGAGACGCTGCTGCAGCTCCTGCTTCAACTGTACTATGTTTTCCATCTCTCCCTCATGTAGTTGAGCCTTCCGCTCGTAGCGGGACCTGCCATCTTGCACAAGCTGCTCCAAACGAGTAATCTCTGCCCTGAACTCAGACATCTCCTGCGAGGCCTCTGCACGTAAGCGAAGGTTCTCCGCCCCCAGTTCTTCAACCCTGTTCTGCAATGCGAGTTGCTGCCTCTTCATCTCCGGCAACAGCACATCATTCGACGGAGAACGTGCGGTCGTCCCACGTCCCGTGGATGGCGTCGACAACTTTTGTTCCTCACGGCATTGGTTAAGCTCAGCACGAAGTAAACAAATCTCACGCTCCATCATGCGCCGCTCAGTTTCCAGACGTTCCTGAAGACTGGCAAGTTCCAAGGCTCCCTGACGCCGTGTCCGCTCCAACTCACGCTGGTGTGCTGCTTGTGCTGCACGTTTTTCCTCCTCTAGTGCCACAAGACGCAGATTAGTCTCCCGTCGCACTTCAAGCGAGTCTGCCTCACGCATCCGGTCAGTCTGCGCATCTAATGCCTGCACCTTCTCCTTGAGTGCCACAAGCGCCAGCCTTAACTGCTCATTCTCTCGATCCAAATTACGTGCATCGTCAAGCGCAACTTGTCGTTCGGAGCTAACACGCTCTAGCTCGGAGTCGCAGCGACGCAAACGTTCTTCCACCTGCTGCGAAGCCCGCGATAGTTCATGCACGAGATGCAACGTTTCCTCCAGGGAGTGAGCAAACCAATGCTCCAGCTGCCCCGGGGTGAGACTGGATTCCGTTGCGGCGTTATCCGTCACTGCAGTCGGCAAACGCAAGCGTGTAACCTGCGAGGAGGCCATTAACGACGGCTGCTGTTTCCTGCTGTGGCTGCGCCCCATTTCCTGGGCAACTTCCTGTAGTTGGTTATGTATATTGACAAGCAAGGCAGCCGCAGTGACAAGTTCTGCAGATGGTTTCTGAGAGTCACGATAAAGCGCCGACGTTGTGGCCCATTCGTGTTGCCGTTGACGAAAAACCTCCTCCAACTCACGCTGAGCGGCGCGGGCACGCGACAACTCTCTCTCCTGCATCTCCACTCGCGACCGCATCTCTTGCAGAGAGTCCTCCGCGGATCGCCGTGCCGTTTCCGCCGCCTCACTTCTCACACCAGCAACCCGTGCTGCTTGAACGGCGCCCTGAAGATCCCGCTTTAGCGCGTCGTGAACCAGGCGCTGCTCCTGCAACTCCCTCTCCAACTCTTTTGCGTGAGTGCGTACCTGCTGTACCTCCGCTTCGCAGTGGTGCAGCTGCTCGCGAAGCAAATCCTCCCTTTTCCGTGACTCTTTCTGCATCGCCGCAGACGGCTGCTCGCTCTCACCCCGATGTGGTGCAGCTTCTAAACGTCTTAGTTGCCGCTCAAGTTCCCGTGTCTTTGCATCCGCCACGTCACGCTCCCCTGCGAGCTGCGAGCAGCGAGCCTTCAGCTGATCCAACTGCTCCAGAACCTCCTGCCCGACGCTAATGCAGCGCCGCAACTCCGCCTCCTTGGCCTCGATCACCGCCGTGTCGTGACGACAAAGCTGCTCGTACTGCAAAAGCGCCTGATACGCGTCAGGGGAACTGCGACGAAGCTGCGCCAAGTCTTCGGTAGAAAAACTCGCCAGTGGAGTCAGCGGGTAAACGTTACGCGATACGGAACGAGAATGCTCCGCGTCCACCGCCACGTTACTACTGTTCAGACCCGTGACCCTCGCTGGGCCTGAATTCTGCCGCGCCCCCTGCCTCATTCGCGCGGGACCAGAAGAATGTCCTGCCGCACAAAAAGTCCCAAAAGAAAGTAAAAAAAAAAAAACGTGAGAGAGAAAGAAAGGGGGAAATATGAGGTGCAAAGGGAAATGAAGGACACCCCAGCGACAACAGAGGAAACGTGTCGAGGTGCAGTTAGCCCTCCAGTTCTGGAGACAGACTGAACTTCCAACTATGGTGTTGCCCTTCCCTCCTGCTGCTCTGTTTGCGTTTCCGCCTCCGCTCCAACACTACACGACGCCAGCAAAAAAAGAAGAGACACACAAACTTCAGCCAAAAGAACACGCATAATACATACAAGAAAGAAAAAGAAAAAGAAAAGGAAAAAAAAAAATTCAATGGCAAACGCACAAAGGAAGTATAAACACTATTAAGAAGAGCTTTGCCCCATTAGTACTATTTCTTCCCCCCCTCTCACACACATTCTTCTCATGCGCTATTCACCCTCCCTTTTTTGTTTCCCTCGTCCATTTGCGTATTCCTTCACATTGTCCATTTCGTTGCGTTGCATTCACGCCGTCAATGACTACTACTCTAGTTGCCCGTCAAAACCAGCATGTCCACACCATTGCCGCCCGCCCCCGTAGTGGCCATCACTTGTTGGATGTCTTTGTCAAGCGAGCTGCCACGTGGATTTTCCGTCTGTAATGCATGCAGTTTTGCCTGTAGGATACGCTTCAGTTGATTGAACCACTCCACCTGTTGAACGTTCCCTTCATAATTCTCTTGAATTTCAAGCTGCCGTTGCTGCATATCCCGCAGACGGATCTGTAAGTCTTCTATTGCGCGTTCGAATCCCTTTTCTGCCAAAACATTGATACCATGATCCTTGTTTAGATGATACAGGAGCCACCCATTCGTCGGAGTTGCCTTGCCGCAGTATGTACACTTCGGGCTCCGCCCTAAGGATGCGGCGGCCTGCGTAAGCTCTTCTTCCGTTGGGTTGTCAGCACCACTTTTTATAATATCCGCAAACTCACGCTCACCCTCGAGACGATCCCATTGGGCAGTAATCAACGTCCCCTGCGCCTGTAGCCGATGGTAGATAGATTCATTCATGTTTGTTTCGTCCCGAAGAGCCTGCACATCACGCTCCAACTTAAAGATGTCCTCCATAAGCAAACTCTCTTGATAATCGTAATGTGATTTTTTCGATGCCCATTCTTGATCCACCTCAGATGCCGTATGACGAACGTCTCGAAGCTCATTGATGAGTGGTGCAAGTTTTGTTCGGCGCTCACGAATTGCCATGGTAAAGTCTTGTACAACGTGTGAAAGCTCCTCAAGTGTTTTGCCCTTGAGTTCTTCAATGGTGTCCTTCTCACGTGTCAGTTTGCTAAGTGCCTCCATTGTGCGGCTGTATCCATGCAGCCCAAGCTTTTGTTCAAGGTTGCCAATCTCGGCGTCAAGCTCATTAAACTGCGCCTTGAGAACGTTTTCTGTAAAGGTGAGCACACCCCACTCAACACGTAGCTCGGACAATTTAGCCCTCATCCCCTCACTTGCCGCCTTCTTCGCTAATACTCGTTTTGAAAAGATACGAAACTCATCGCCCTTCAACATCTGATGCGCCTCACGTAATTGATTAATACGATTCTCCTGATCCCGCATTTCATTCAATGTGCGGCGGTTGTCAGCCTGAAGGCTTGTGAGCGTTTCTAACACCTCTTGCTTGCGCTTTTCCACTCGCTCCACCTGTTGTTTGATGGTTGCAATAGTGCTTCCATCCTCGCCCGGCCTCTGGCGTTCCTTTACCTGAAGCTGAAGCTTTTTCAACGCCTCATCGAGTTTTTGGTTTTCCGTCGCCAGTGCCTGCATGTCAAGCGGTTCAGAAATGAGCTTATTCAGTTCGTCGTTCTCTCGCCGCTTCTGTTCAAGTTCTTTTGGCAGCTGCTTCTCGAGAATCATCTTGTTCGTCTGAATCTCATCTCGCATGCGGCACACAATGACATCCACGCGACCATCCGCGGCATCACGGCGAAGGTTCTGTAGCCTGTTCTGCATCTCAGTGCTCCGCTGCTCTGCCGAGATGAGGGACTGTTGCAGCTCAACCCGTTTTTCAGCCAACCACGACTCCTCCTCAAGTGCCGCGCGGAGGGCCTTGCTTGCATTCACAAGTGACTCCTTGTCCAGCACCCCGCCGAGTTTTTTCTCCGCCACTTGAATGTAGTCTTGAAGACGGTCTCGCTCCTCCTCAAGCGCGGTGACTTTTCGGCGCACCTCTGCAGGATTTGCGTGGGCGGCCTGCAGCGCATCAACACGCCGGTGCGTCTGAACGAACATCGTGCGAAGATTCTCATACTGCTGATAGAGAGCCCTCACATCTTCGTCCTGGGCCCGCATCGCCTCCGGAATGTCAAGTCGCTGCAGAAAACGGGCAAGATACACGCGCTTCTCATTCTGCGGCATGTTGGAGAGTACCCAGTAAAGCGTCGGGTACACAATGGTCGGCTCAGCCTGCATGAAGCCACTCGCAAAATTGTTCGCCATCAGCGCCGGGATTCGGTACCCGAGAGTTTTTGTCAGGAACTCCATCATGCGCGGCGCGGCCTCTTCAATGGGTACTCCTTCCAAGTCCATTTGCTGTGGCGGTGACAGTGTTCCAAATACGTCATTGACGACCTGTAGCAGGGGGACACCCTGAATGGCGTCAAATTCCACCAGCGAATACTTCCTAGACAACACCTTGTTTACATTGTCAACAATGTACTGAAGCACCTCCTCCTCTGTAAGGTCTGCCGAAGAACGCTGCTTAGTTCCAGTATTTACGTTTGTGCTTTCGCCCGCGAACACGTTGCCAGGCGTTGTGTAACTGCCAGGTGTCATCGCCATTGTAATGCCAAAGCCCGAGGAACCGTGTGCGCCTAAAAAACTCATCTTTGTGGCGCCTCGTATCGTAGCCGTGTCCTTGTTTTTCACTTCCCTGTTTATCCTTCCTAACCGCAGAAAAGAAAAGTGAGACCAGGGAGAAGTCACTATGGACATGCCTCAGCATGCAATACGGAAGCGACGCAAAAACACATCTGGTAATGCCCCCTCGCTCGCTCGCTCGCTCTCCCCCCACCCAGTTTGGTTACTGCGCACTCTCCCCCCCTTTCTCCCACAACGCTAAGCATCAAGGCGGGCAGAAGGGGGTGCAACGACAACGACAACAAAAACGTTTCATCTTCACCGTTGTCCTTCCCTTCTTTTATGCTCTCTTTAGTTGGAGCAGCCGCCACTCCAATTCGTCATGCGGGGTCGTCAGTATTGGAATGCGCAGTCCCGATGGTGTTTTGATGGTGCCGCTACTGGCGACAGCTCCACCTGCAGCGGCAGCGGCAGCGGCGACTGCGTTTTTCTCATTGGTGGTATGCATTATGGCGGCGCCGCTCGCGGCAGCGGCAGAGGCGACTAACGTGTTCGGATCACGCAACTTCTCTTCATCGTAGCCCTCAATGCTGTACTCAGAGGCAATCATGGTGAGGTACTGCAGGCAACGTTCATTTGACGGTGTGAATATGCCAAGACGATCAATAATTGTCTGATTCACAGAAAATTCCGTGTTATCTACGCCCATCGCCACAAAGGTCTTCCCAAACTTTATCTCGAAGTACTTCCTAATATTCTGCAGCTCCGGCGCAACATCCCCCAGGCGGACAGAGGCCCAGAGAACTGAAGTGATACATTCCTTAAGCTCCGGTGGGCACCGCGCCTCGGCGGCGTCACCTTTACCACCCTTAATCTCTGCAATCATCTGAACGCGGTTAGCGAGAAGATCAAGAAAAAGTGAGAGCGCTTCAAGGCCCTCAATAGCCACATCGTCGCGTATCACCTGCTCCACCCTGATGCGAGCCGACTCGTACTTCTGCAGTGCAAGGAGCTCTGCAATTTGACGCCGTTGAATCTTTACGCCATTGACAAGTTTGTTCTGCTGCATGCGTACACGCGTCCCAGCCATTCGAAGGGTAGCCTTCACCTTCACGCTGTCGAATACAGGCTTTTTGGAAAAGAGCCGCATGACTGCCGCTCCTACCACTATTACTACTAACTCGGTTATTATAATCCGCCTTCTCTCCAACTGCGTCCTGTAATTTGTTCTCTGCTCTGTTGTGTTATTTTGCCTCTTTGTTGTGTTTGTTTGTATGTTTGTTTCGGGGGAAAAAAAGTTCTTCGTTTGTTGTTCGATTTTTTTGTTTTGAGAATTTGCGTGAAGGTGCTGAGTGCCTCAGACACAGTTGCCAAAGTCAACGCGCGTAAGTGGGAGCGGCAGGAGGAAGACAGTCCAAAAAAAAAAAAAAATACCCCCTCCCTCCCCCTTCCAAAAACAACAACAACAACAAAAAACGTTTGAACTTTTCTCCATCATCGCCAACGACCTGACGCATTGCAAGCAACGACGTGACTGCATCCCAGCAAAGGGAGCAACTGGACTCTTCCTCGCATGCTCATCTCTCTTGTGTCACCATGGCCCACGCCCCTTGCAACCACGCGGTCACATCCACGCAAAGCGCGTAAGGTGCCGAGGATCCTGCGCGCGTAAAAAAAAAAAAACAGCCAGCTGCGCGCCGCCCAGCAACTGCTGTGGCGCCGTCACATGGGACTCTCATAGACGCCTTTACCCCGATACACCGCTGTGGACATTGCCTCTCCCCCCAACTGCGGGGGAATCACATCCCATGTGTTTGACGACTGGGTTTTCCCATGCATGCATGCACGCGTGCGTCCGAAGCACACATTACCCCCTCCAAGGCCATTGCGAAGCATGTGTATGTGTGGCTCGCTGGAGGGGTTCAGCGAGGCGCGCTGCGTTTCCAAAGATGCAAGCTAGTGTGTCATATGCTGCAAAAAAAAAAAAAGTACGAAAGGGGAAAGAAAGCACAGCAAAATACACAGAAGTTCAGAGGCGCAAAGAGGGCAATACAACACCGATAGTGGCAGGACCACTACATATCGGCCACCCCACCCCTCAATCACATACCAATACATACATACAGTAGTAGTAGTAGTAGTAGTAGCAGTAATAGTAACAGTGGAATTGAATAATAATAATAATAATAATAATAAAAGAAGGGCAGTGCCCTTGGTGCACACGACATCCCAGAAACACCACGCACAGTGTTAGAAATGCATGGGCACGAATACCTGTAGAAAAGAAAAGGGAGAAATAATAATAATAATAATAATAATAATAATAATAGAAAAGCACTCATCTTTGCCCAATCCGGGCATGTGCAGCTGCAGGAAAAGGGGGAAGAAAAAAGGGTGAGAAACATTGATAGAAGATACGGTGGCAACACGTGCCCAGGCCAGATCACCTTTCCACATGTCACCTCTTCTCCAGCAACTCATTATTTTCACTTACCCTGACTTTTTTTTTTATTCTTATTTTTTTTTTCAAAATTTTATGCTCGCCCTCTCTTTTTCCCTCCCTCTCATGCGCACATTCTCACTCCTTCGCATCCTTCCTCGCTACCATCACTATTTCTATCATTAAATCCTCCCACACGAGTCCTTCCCCAAACAACGTCTTACCCTCGATGGGAGCAATCGTTGCGCCTCATGCACCAGTAGTGCCCACAGAGACCCGTGACAACGAGATTAATAACATAGCTTACCCCTCTAAAGGAGGCAAGTCATCGTAGTCATCATCTTTATTATTCCCCGTCTCGACTTCATCGTTCTTGCTGAGATTGGCACTGCCAGACTTGTGCTCCGCTTCACTCGTGAAAGGCATCGCCTCTCCATTTTCCAGTCCATTCGGCATCATCATTTCTGACATCATGTTGCCGTAGTCAAAGCCCAAGCCACCTTCGCCCGTGTCTGTGTCATCGTCCTCGTCCTTCCAGCGTGACCAGTCGACCTGAATGTGGCAATTCTTCGTTTTGTCCTTCGTCAGTCGTGGCCAGGCGCGGCAGAGTGCCGCCGCCTCCTCGTCACCAGCGTCATTAGGCCACTTCTTCTTGAGTTTCACCTCAATTTGCCGCGGAGTTGTCACGTGACTACTCTCCTCGGAGGAGACCTCATGTAAGAGCTCAAGGACGCAGCCGTAACTCCGCTCCCCGGCGGTGGCAGCAAAGTGTAGCATGCGCCCATCAATAATTTCCACGGCGACGTTTCTGGCGTCCTGCAGCGGGATGGACAGAAAAATGTACTCCGATCGCTGCGCCCAGAAAATGTTTGGGAACACAACGTCTTTACTCGCGGACATGAACGACACAGTCTCCTACACGCGCTGCTCCTTCTTATTTACTGCTTGTTGCCGTCGAATTTGGAATGGGGGCCTGAAAAGACTGTGTCACTGCTGGGGCGTGAAAAAGACGCTCCTCCCGCTCTAATCTATCTCTTTCCCTGACGTTATCTTCGCGCGCGGGCCAAATGCAGGGAGGCAGGGGGGGGGGGGGTGCCACAAAACAACAAAAAAATAATAAATTTCAAAAATGCACGGCACAACAAACAGAAGCAAACAAACAACAACAACACGCGCCCACACTGCCACAAATTTGCATGTGTTCGAGGCCGACGAGGGAGCCTACACGTACCCACACAAAGAAGAAGAAAAAAAGGTCTGACTTCATTTCTATTCGTCCCGTAACCTCCCGCAATTCCTTCAGTCGCCGCGTTCGGATGTACAAAAACATTGGACATGTGCGCAACTTTCACCGTGGATACTGAAGACACATTTGAGTTAAAACAGCCCCACGGAACATTTTCCTTTCAGGTCCTACTGACCCCGCGTGTTTACGCATTCTCACACACGCCCTTCCCATGCACGTATAAACTACAAGTGGAGAAAAAAGATGTAATCTCATCACACACCAACAAAAAAAAAAAGAGGAAACAAACAAACAAACAAACAAACAAAAATACGCGAATCCTCAATAAACATGCAAAACAAAACAAAGTAAAAAGAAATACTTTTAACTAAAAGAAAGAAGAAGGACCAGATAGAGAGAGATATGTACATGTATATATACAAACATATCGCCTCGAACAGCAATATATACATATATGGATATATCAAAGGAAAAAAAAAACAAACAAACAACAACTACGACACGCACACACGCACTTAGTGAAGAATCCAATTTTGCTTCATGCTATTTTCCTGGGAAAACATATATATAAGCTTGCCTCTGCTGTCTCCCACTCAGGCCCTTTTCTCTTCTTTAAAAGTCCCTTTGTGTATGTTTGTGCATGTGTGTGTGTGTATCTTCCCTCCATCCTTTACACACCGCTAACCCCATTTGGCGACATGCTGATGGCAACGGGGACGTGGAGATGCCCGTCTCTCCATAGCATCATCGTGTGTAGTGTACCCACGCCTACACGTGCCTCTTTCCACTGAACTTCGTTCTGAAGCCTGAGAGGTTGCCCTTAACGAAGAGCTCCGTGGAGCGCGGTGGGACATCCAGCACGTACACAGGGCCAAGGTCGGCGTCTTCATCCCGCCACGTTTTCC